ACTTCGACCATCGCCCAACCGACTCCCGGGTTCATTTCGACCCACGCAAACTATACCTTTCCGTGTCAAGTTTTGGTTTTTAACAAATAATAATAATATTACACGATTGTGAATCCGCGAAAGCGTTCGATAAAACGAAACGAGTGTCCGAAAACTTTGTTGGTCTTCGACCATCGCCCAACCGACTCCCGGGTCCATTTCGACCCACGTAAAGTATATCTTTCCAAGTCAAGTTTTGGTTTTTAACAAATAATAATAATATTGATACTCGGCGAGACTATAAACGATGTTCACAACTTTTTTAACACGTTGACTGCCAGACCAAACCCCTCAAATTAAAAGGAAAATTAAATTTTGTTTTTAGACAATTGGAAACTAGCATACCAAGAATATGTAATGGAATTTATTTTCACAGACTCGTTAAAATTCAAGGGGCCCACTTAGCTTTATTTTTTTTTACGTCTCATCTTGGGAATTAATTTTTTTAACTCCTTGATGAAAAGTCGTGTCCACCCATATGTGGGTGACGTGGCAGCCAGTGTGTTAATATCCATTTTCCTTTCACTTGAAAATTTGTAAAGAGTGATAACGTGTATGGGCAAAGTTATAGAATAAATCATTCTAATGTGGAGCTTTGAATGCTGTACCGAGGCACAAAAAATGCTAACTTATAACTTGGCAGTAAGTGACTAGTCTGACACCATAGACGTCATGCAGCGTGGTGCAACCCTTAGTTCGGGGCGCATTGCATATAAAGGATGCACATGCGCGTTCCCCGTTGCGCTTCTCCGGTTCAGCGACCCTGACTCTCACTTTGTTCCGAAAATTATTCAATTTAAATCAAGCCCGTTTAACTCTGCTGTTTCCCCAACTTACAGCGCACGCTTGTACTTCTTCCAGGTGGTTTGTTTAAATTAGAAACAAAAGTTTCTTTTAGACAGCACCTAGATAGCGTAAAATTTAAGTAAAATTAAATTTGACATTAAAAAATGTTCCTAATTATCTAAACAATCTTGTTGCTAATGGAAATCCCTCTTTGAATGAACGAAACCGCGTTGCATGTTTATCGCGCTCTAATAAACAAATATGTTGCATAGTTAAATTAGTAGCTTCGGAACAGGCGATAACCCGAATCGCGTTATCTGTACTATGAAAGAAATAATCGAGGAAATAGTCAATTTTCCGCGACGTAGTTGCCTCGAATTTTCCATAAATAGCTAAATATATTGTTCACTCGCGTTACAATTTTCGAAGAAATCTAATCTCCTCGAAAAGCTCGTAACTTTCGTGTCGATACGTTTTACTATTTTCGCGGCAACTGTTTTATTTTATAAATGTCGATAAGTCGAGCAAGGAGATACGACCCGTCGAAAGCGATGTTAAGTAATTATTAATACAGTTAACGAGGTCGTGCTTTTGTTCGGTATACACCGGTTTCTCGGCGTTTCACCGACCCGTCTGGCCGCGGTCAAAAGTAGCCATTTGCAAGTCGTGGCCCTGGCAATTACCAATTACGAACGGTGACACGACGACAACACGAAGGCCGAATTTGCGGTGTGTCCGGTCGCACGGTACCGTCTTCTTGATCCATTAAGCCCGGGCGATCAGGAAACGGCATACTTTATAAGACCCCGCCGACGTCCTCGCTTATAAATGCTCGCTATCTTCGACGCTCGAACGTTTCACGATTCACCTACTTAGAAATTTTAACCGGTCGTCGATCAAAAGTTCGAATCAATTACAACCATCCTAAATTTAATCTTAATTGAAGTATTCAATTAGCGAACTCGACGGCTCCGCGATCTCCTGTTTCGTTCCAAACTTACCCACGGAACGGCGAACGCGTAATTCTAACTTTACCTTTCCTATAACGTGCCTTGAGTGCTAGATCTATTTCGAGTGTTTACTAAAAGATCTAAACGTTAACGCTCCTATTTGAGTAAACTAGATCATCTCCCAGAATTGGGAACGCGACACTCAAACTGTCAATAAAGGGTAGATTTCGTGTCTTCGCTAAATTAGAAAAATATATTCCAGATATTTTCCAAATCATCCTTCGTTCGACTACTAATCACGTATGTATATTTCTCCAAGGTTTTCCTCCTTCCTTTCGATCTCGTCGAACGTCTCGGCGTCGTTGTTACTAAAATTAACGAAGTAAAATTTTATTCCACAATTTCCTTTTGCACGAAGAACGACTACTTTCCCGGTTATATTATGGTTACTGGGACGCCGATGTGTGATATACATAATTCTTTCCTCCTCCGATAGCTGCAAGGATCCGCGTGGTCACACTTTGTTAGACACTGTTCCATGTTAGGAATACAATGAAACTCCACGTATAATTTATTATGACGCGAAGTCGACCAGCTAAATGAACATTACAGTTACAAAAAACTAAATAGATCGATAGGTGGCAACGTCTGATATATAATTCGAAAACTGGCCGTCGTGAATGTTGGTCACGTGCGTGCGAATGCAACCGTGCACGTGTGTACGGCTGCGGTCGTTGGGCGACTCTTTCCTCGTCATGTTCTCCCATCGCGCGAACAACAAACACAAGTCGCCGACCGTCGTTTGGACGACCCGTGCTCTGCACGTGTGTTATGTCCTGCCCAGTATCTATAGAAACGTCGGATGTCGCCATGTAACGCAACATATTTTCAGGTGGCGAAACGGTACAATTTTCCTTAGACCAGACGCCACTGTACGGCCCCAACTGAATTATGCGAGTCGCGCCAAAATCACTTCTCTCCCGGAATCCCTATAGTTAGACCCAGCGAACGAGGCACGCGACGGAAAGTCTACCAACACCAGAAAGATACACAGAGACGTGCCCTGAAAATGCTCGCGGAACCGCTGGAAACCTAATCGCGAGCTGCCAGATCGAGATAACACAACGGGACATACTCCCGAGAATTTCTGCGACGTGTGAACTTTTACGCTTCTATCGCTAAATGCTTTTCGCGTTCCTGTTCGTACAAAGTGTCGATGGTTGACGCTTCAGCGGTCGTATTCGTAACAGGAAAACATCGAACGAGTATTATGGCGCAAAATATCGTTTCCTTCGGACTCGAAACAGGGATATTTTTTTTACATGGTATAACGACGTAAACAAAAGCATAACAACAGACAACCGAGGGTCGCGTGTTTTTCTGAACAAACGAGTGCTATGGGAAACAAAAACTGAGCCTGACGCGAGTTTGTTTCGACAATTGTTGTACGCTGTAATAAAAGGCAGAAAAAAATTTCAGAAAATACCTAATTATATTAACGATAGAACAATGTGATACGCAATAACATGTTTGATTCGTTGGATATCAGCTAAACTTCGAATTATCGTTTCGCTATCGACTGACTTTTTGAATAAAAGTTTGTTTAACCTTGACACGTATTCGACGCACGAGACTTTTTAACGGTTGCCATCGATGCAATAATAATCTATCAAGTCGTCTCTCCTCTGATAGCAATCATTCTTGTCATTGAAAGCAAACGAATGTTGCGTACATAGCAATTAAAGTGTATTTACGTTGTGCGCCTAGTGTGCGCCGAGCGTGGTCTTCGGTATTATTAACTTCGAGATACAGAGTTTCTATCCGCGGAAACTATCGTACCTGAGAAAATATCGTAACACGGACGCCAAGATCGCTATCGAAAATTTCATCGGTTCGATTTCTGAAATTCGTCGCCGACTCTACGCGAACGAGAGAATCGCGTAAACGCCGTTCCGTTCCGTTTGAAAAATCACACGCGTGCAAACGACAATAACTTCTCTGTTCGGGAAGAAAGAAATCGCCTTAAAAATGCGAAAATTATGCAGCGCGAAGTACAAAAGGATCCGCGCTTCCCCTTTGTCCTTGCCGGTTGGCGCGCGCATGGGTAAAAGAACGCGAGTCGCAAGATTTTTGTCGGCTCGGATGACTATGCGCCGTGCCTTGCCGCTTACCGAATTGCCCCGTTGCAGCAACAAAGCGTTTATTGTTCGTGCCATCCACGTGTTCGTTCCACGAAGGGTGGAGTCGATTCCACGACGCCGAAAAATTCTCACGGCTCCTTTTTTCTTCGCGGGAAGACACCGCCCGATCCCGAGAAACGTTAATGTACCGACCTCCGAACTTGTTTAAAACGAGTTTCTCTCGCGCGCCTCGCCAATGACGAACGACCAAATGCGATTAGCATACTCATGCGGGTACTCAAATTCGGCGAAGTGCACTACGAAGTGCCGTCAATTGCACTCGATTAAGGGGATCCTTGGTTCGACCTTGCTCTGCGCCTCCGTTAGGAGGGCAGGAAATAACGAGGCGGCTGGGTATTATCGATGCTCGGACGAATCAGAGATAAAAAGGAACGTTTAACCCTCGTATCGATAACGAAACTGTCCACCGTTGTTCGATAACCGTGGTATCCTGGTACCTCGAGAATCCTCTTTGCATAAATCAGATATACAACGATGATTTCGCTCCCGTACTTGCCCAAAACTCTTTTCCTTTTTATGGCACGCAGCATACCATTATCGATGATTTTAAAAAAAAATACGAGTATAACACTAATATATAGATCGCTGTTAGTTCATTATTCGGGTGAATAATGCATCGTCAGAGACCATTATTACTCCTTAACCCTTTTCACTCCACTGACGCTGCACCGTGATGATATGCATAATGGCCACCACGATCGAATTCAACTTTTACCTACGGTGACATTGGTTGAATTAACCGAATGAATTAGTGAAATTTTAACTACTTGATACTTCGCGTTAGAGACTTTCGATGCTTTTTGAAAATTTCCTTTTCTCGGAAAAAAATTATGCAAATTGTTCCACGTATCGTAAGATGTCTCTCATCAGAGTGACGCCCCTACGACAACAAGTTTCACGAAAAGAACGCGAGTTTGACCAGCTAATCTTGATAGATCGATCGTACGAGTAAGGAACGTTTATTAACGAAAAGTGGACTCGTGTCAGGCATGCAGAGTAAGATGTAAGAAAAATAAGGACTCACCGGAATCAGAGGGTGTCTGTACGCCGAGGTGTTCCAGGTTCTTGCCAATGGGTTGATTGAGGTGATAACAGTGATCGCTGAGGGTGTTCCTGATACTGGTTTCCTTATGCACTTGACACTGACCTTTGTCGTCCTCTTTCCTCCTGTCGTGGAACCTGACCAGTTGACCGGTGACCTCGCTCACTGGCACAGCCTTGGTTACCGCCTCTGACATACACTCGGATAGTTTCTCGTGTATGTTGATTTGATCGTGCCTAAAGAAAGGCCCCTCGTCCTCCGTCTCTGTGTCGGATGCTGAACTTTGTGGTGTTTCCGGCCTGGTGGAATCGCCGTCGCTCTCCAGATTTTTCGCGCGGCACTGTTGCTGGGCCTGTTGCTGGTTCCCCGATAACGATGTCGCCGATTGCGCGGCGTTTGCCCGCGATATCAACAGACTTCGTCCCGCTGGCACTCTCTTCTGTATCTGCGAGTCCTTCTTCGCGGGTAACGTCCTATTGTGTTCTTTGCTGATGCACAGTCCTGCCCACATGCAATCGTGATGACGTATCTCGCGAGACGCCAGACAGGTCATCTTGCCGTACAGCAGTTCTGGCACAACACCGTCGTCGATGATCCGCTCGTGATACACGTCCGCGCGATCCAGCGGGAAGTCCAGGTCGAACTTTTTCCATATGTCGTCGGACACCACCGTCGCGGTGTCCAGGGGCTCGTCTAACAGGCCCAGGTCAGAGCAATCCCAAACGGGCACCGGCATTGCGCCTGAAGCGTTAACAACACATTTTTCCTCATAACCAGACAATTTTTATTATTATAGACAGGCTTAATTCTAAAAAAACTAACCAAAGAAAGAGAGGGACGCGAAAGTGTTTACGAAATGTTATTTACCGTCTCTCGAATGCATATTTATGACGATTTATTACAAAATGCTTGCTATAATAAATGCCACGGGACGAAAACGAAAGTAATAAAAGATGACGAACCAACTGGAAGAAGAAGGTGCTAACCAATGTGTAATAGAAGCGACGCATCGAAGAATACAATGTAATTTGCATTTACGATGAATAGCGCAAGAGTGGCGCGATGAGCGCATCGAATATACCGAATACATAAATACGAACGGTTACAAATTTAAATTTATACAAAGAAAAAAATAATTGTTTTCAACGTCTAGAAAATATACCAGGTGCTTAAAAATGGAAATAAAGAACTGTATCGAACGGTTACTCTGTAAGTGACCATAGTTCTTAATGTTAACCGATCGACGAGCTTCGATCACAGACATTTTGTATCGACAGTTCTCAACGATCGTCCATCTATGTCCTCCTCTGCGATGTTACAACATGTTGCTTCACCGTACTAGTAATAACGTGGAATATTGCACCGCGTGTCGTAACGCCTCCTGCATTATCACGAGAATCAGCGAAACGAATACAGTTAGTGCTATGAAAATATGAACAAAGGTCGTCGTTGCCTCGCGTGTATGTATTAAAAATAGACGGCCTTCGGTACTGACGTATCACTTTGTACGGTTTTTGCCGTGCTTCGGTAAAGCTGCACTTAACGGAACAATATCGATATCGTACGTAACGGGGGAACCAACGATCGTATCTGGTTTTTTTCACGGACGCGATTTACGAATTCGTTCGAGACGCGAGCCAAACACCGACGACCGACCGTGACGAATCGGAGACGCGGAGGACGGCCAACGGGACCGAAAAAACCGGTAACGCGAGCAGCAACAAATCAAACTCAGCTTCGCTAAGGACAGTTGACCTTCGATAAATCACGGCCAAACACCGAATCCCTAGACGAGAGCATTTTCCCTCCCTGCGTGAGACCGCTACGTCCTTTTTCTCACCCGAATCGTGGACAACCGTTTCACCGTATATTTTCTACCGCCAGGTGTTGCTCGAGGACCTCTCAAGGAGCTGCGCCAAATTGGTAGCGTCGAAAAATTGCAAAAAACTTTTTCGTACATCGATGCAACCGTACGTGTAATTTTTAAGTAAACAATTTTGTGTCTGGGACACTCTCGGTTCGACGTCAATATCTCCTTGATCCTACGCGCGCACCTCGAGTATCAACATGCCGCAGGGTATATGCGACGCACAACAGGAAAAGAGGATTTTCATCGCAGCGGAATGTAACTTCTCTAATTGGGTATTATGAAGGAACGAGTACTGACCTGGAACCGAAACAGTCGTGTTGCAAAGAATGGGAATATTTAAATAACAACTTAACTGTCGCATCTCGTTTCGCGACGAGAAACTTTCCTGCACATTGTAAGGATAAAAGTGCTAATTGAAAGTTCAAAGACAAATCGATCGACCGATAAACAACCCAGGCATGTTAATTGGCTTCCACGAGCGTCTATCTCATCTAAATAGAGAAAAGCTGAAGCAAGTGATTCACTTGCAGAGTACCTACGTACATGATCCAACTTTAAATCCTTGTGACGCATGAGCAGTTCGTCCCGCGTGTGAAAATTTATGTAAGGATGACCAAATTAACAACGTGTATAAACAATTACATGAGAAACCTTGTTCAAAAAGATTACAACCCTACCAAGAAATGTTATATACATTAAGCAATTTAAAAAAGAAAAACACTGAAGAATTGAGGGCATGTGGCCGGACGATGCGAAAGGCCCCAAGTGAGGCCCACATTTTTTTGTCATCTTTCAAAGCGCTGTGACTTCCAGAGAGCACGTGGGAAACTACGACTCTAATTTCTTCGAACGAACCTCATATAATTTCACAGGTGAATTTGTTCGATCGTTCGATCTTTCAAGAACCACGAATATTTTACATCTCCGAGCTACTTTAACCTCTTGACTTTCCAACGATAAACGCAGACTCATTTTTTCCCCAGCCTAGAATTGTGTGAGTCATGTGTTTACATTGTAATCGTGCGTCAAGAAATCGAGTCACAGCATAGCCGACACCTCTCGCGCTCCCCAGGCTATACTTAACGAATGCATTTTTTGACACTCGCGCGAAGCAACAACGTCTTTACGATGAGAAATTAACACTTTCGCCAAACTGATTGCGGCGCAGCTGTAACGTCTCGTATCTTTCTTTTCGATGAAAAGGGTGCTCGAGAGAAAAAAGTGTACGAAAAGTAACCTTTTACATCTGCAGGCCCGCGACATGGTAGCAAAATCGGGCGAAAATGAGTGCCTGTCTCAAGTGAAAAAAAAGGAAGGCGACGCGTATGTATACACCAACGCGAATCAGAAAGTCGCTCGTCCGCAACGGGCCTTAAGATTTGGTTCGACCAATCAACGCGCAATCACGTTTCGACGTGCAGCCAATTAGATGAAATCGGAATACAAACAGGTTAAGAGCACTACCGGGAAAAATGAAGAGACGTCGGTGATACGTAGAAATATAAATTCTCTCGGCGAATGACGCATCGCTTTACATAAGAGTTCATAACACTGGCACAATTCGATCGTTCGTCTCATCTCTCGGCTAGTCTAGAGTGCAGTTGTGGAACACATCGATAGAGTAAAACGTGTTTCGTGGCGCCGCTGGTCACGCACCAATGTCGTACGAAATGATGCGATCGCCGCGACTCGCGTGACTCACGATTACGACGAAATTCGTCGGGATCATACGTGTACGTATCAGTTTTCGTGGATCTGAGCGACGAAGACACGCTGCGTTTTATTGCCAGCATTAGAGTGCAAACATTATACATCCGCCCGATTGAGCCCACCTCGATGACAACCGAACCGTTATCTTCCATTCTCGCACGCACCAGACGGACCACCATGTTATAATTCATCGTTTCGCCGTTGGTGTTCCAATTGACGCGAAAACTGTCACTTTCGCACACTTGTACGCGCCCATATACTTTTACACAAAATAAAATCGAACGAAACGCGTTTTTTAATAGCGTGTAAAATAAACAGCTACGTGTAAGCACACCTCGAGCATTATACAGTGTTTAAAAATTTACTTTATCATGGTAAAATTTTGTCATCATCTGCACGAATTGAAAATAATCTGGATGTGTAAAATTATTGAGAAAATCAAATTTACATGCAAAGTGAAATAATGTAACAAAATGTCAAGTGTCTTTTACGTTAATAAATTTTAAATACTGTATTGTAATAAAAATTGTGTGCGGCTGAGAAATCGGGTTTGTACATCTGTCTCGCGACCGAATGAAAAAGAATTCTAACAAAAGGCAATTAATAGCTTTATAAGAACAAAGGACGCTCGACGATTCGATAGGAAACAACACAACTATGTAGGTAATTACATCGGTGTTAATATTTTGACAACCGATCTGGCATTGACGTTTGACGGTTAAACGAGTCGTTCATCGTGAGATTCTTATCAAATACCGGCGAGGAGAACCAGAAAAATAAACAACAGAAAGAAAAAGTGAAAGGGGCGGAGAGACCGGTGGCTTTAGTGACTCGGTCGCCCGTGATAAACGCGCACCGTAGAAAAACAATGATACATGATCCGCTTCTCTTTGCCTCTACTTAGCGACCGAATCGAACAAAAGACAGTCGGTAGGGGAAATCACCTTCCTAGAAAGGCTTTGGAAACGAAAGGAAGCATTCGGTTATTCGTCACAGCGCGGAAAAAAAAGATAAACTTTCGTTAAACTGTTCTCGAATCGTCGACAGAAACGCCCGAGAAAAGTGTTCCACGGCGAAATAGTAAACACGGCCGAATGTTTTGGGAGAAACGGGAATAATTTCGTACGAGAATACCGTCGACACTCGGTCCCCGGTACGTTCGAAACGAAATTCAGCAGAGCCATTATTGTCGGCCATAAGAGAATATGCAGTCATAAAGTAAGCATAGCGAGGACATTACGGCGACTTAAAACGTGAATTTCGTCTGGTCGATCCACCGTGAGCGCGCGCGAGATTTCGTGATTTATTTGTGCGTTGAATTGAACGCGGACGAAAGAAAGAAGCGATGAAAAAATAATTAGGCTGATCCATCATGAAAGTCACTTTTCGTTCGGACTTTCGAAAATCTGTATAAAGGGTGAACCTTAAGATGAAAAGTTTCACTTCCTGGAATAACGATTTTGTAACAGTTGATACTATTTCAGTCTATTCTCTGTTCTGTAGTTATCTATTTAAAGTACCCATGCTTGTGCCAGGGGTCACTGGTCGCTAACCAGACATTTTTAACTGTCAAAATGTTTGGAGACGTTTAATAAATATCGTGTAAACCCGAAAAATCGTTTTGTCGCGTGCAAAGTTGCCGTCAGTGTATCAGTATTGAAAGGAATCTTTATCCCAGGGCGTTTCATTTTTTCAAAATTAACTTTCCCGAAAATGATATTTTTACTCGTGGAATCGGGCATTTACCGATTGCAAAACGTATCATTTTTCGACCCACCCTGTATACGCCAAGTACATTCCACGTCCACGAGCGACGATCGATGGATCAAACTTTTCTGCCTATACGTCGAAACAGAAACCGGTCCAGGTTCGGATAGGTGGCGGTATGCTCACTAACTTCCGCTGAACACTACCGTTCAAGTGTGTAACGAGCTGACAGCTTTCTTACCGTACTCTAATTAAGAGTGGGTTTCTTCTCGGGATGAAAGAACGCGATACGGGCAAAAGTGAAATGAAAAATATTTTGAACGGCCTTCGGGTGAACAGACCGTGGAAATTGTTAAAAACCAGAGCTGCAATTACCGATTGATATGTTACGCGACATTGCGATAGAAAGTGCAATATACCGGTTAAAGCGCTTATCTGCGCTTAACATATTTTCATGTAGACTGCCGAACGTACCGTAAGTATTGGCACAGTGCCATTTTCAGAATGAAACTAGTTAGAAAACAAAATAATTACGAACGCTTGATATTTACCATAATATAAATTTACTATCTGGTTATCAAATGTAATGAGACAAAACATATGTACTTAATAATAAAATAAACTTACTTTATGACGAGTTTAATACCGAACGATCGATATATTGCAAGCATTATAATTAAAATGTTTTTTACGCTGTCATCTTACGACATGATTATGAAATAATGGAATATCGACTGTACGATTACCATAGAAAAATTCAAAAGAAACTTCAAAATTGACGAAAGTCGTTTTATCGTGAGAAGTGTCATCGAATGGTTTAATAACGTTATTCGTTCGAAGAGTGGTTAGAGAAGCCTGACATGGCGTTGAACGCTCGTCGAATTGTCAGGAAGAGAAGAAAGGAAGCTTGTCAAAAATATAATCACGATTTTAAAAAAAGTTATACGAGTCTAAAATTACATGGAAGAATTCGTTTGCAAACCAAAAGAGAAAAAAGAATATATCGAATTCACGAGATAGTATTGAAATTCAAATAATCCATTTTGGGATATTTTATCTGATACAAGCTAAATTGTATCCCACGAGTCTCCAATCCACTTTCAAACATGAGGGTGGCGATGAGGGTTGCACGAGTTCATCTGGCATTTAAGAACCCGTATTTATAAAAATTACGACGGATAGATACATTTGTGTCACCATTTTAAAAGATAATTTGTTGAAAAGTGCCGGTGAAATGGACCTCAACGCGAATTTTTATTTCCAATATGACAATGACATAAAGTACACGACCGGTATCGTTAAACATTGGCTTGCTTTTAATAGCAAACGTGCACTATTAACCTTGCCGCAATTTGTCAGATACGAATAAAAAAAACCGAAATACATATTCCCAACTAAATTAATAGCACCACATTTACAACTAGTTTTATCAATTGATATTGCTTATACCCGGCACTGTATAATTATCTCGATGTAACGATGCACAATACAGTTACCCACGATACAAAATGTATATCTCAACACCAAATTGTAACTGTGAAGGTTAAAAATCGAAAATGTCTCGAAAAGATGTGAAAAAAAGCAATCTTATCTTCCCGCGCGCAAAATGATATTTATATCTTATTCGTTTTGATTAATTATTGATACCGGGCGTTGTACGCGAGGAATCGATTAGTGCATATTTTGGCGGCAAAGTCCAAACCGGTGAATACATTTATAATTGAAACTAGACACCGGCCGTTTCGCGATCTATTTCTAACCGATATAACAGAAAAAATTCATAACTCGACGGCGTACGAAGAATTTTTTTTTCACGAAACAAAACACATCTATATTTATACACGAGTGGGAAATTCGTATTCGAGATAATCGAAAATCGCGCGAACTTACATGTCTGTTCGGAACGTCGAATTTGGCAAATCATCGTCGCGCGTTACACCGCGCCCGAAAAACATAGTCCGAACCGTACCGTTTCTAAGTCCGTAAGCGTCAATCCGCCTCTTTGCGAATGATCGAAATGCTTCACTCGCGTAAACGGTGCGGCCTCTTTTCACTAAAATTCCATTTCCATTCAATCACGATTTCTATTCACTTCGAATTGTCAGAACAGGCGTGCATAGGTGTCACCGCGTCGATCGTTCCGAATTCGACGCGAACATTTTCGAAGAAAAAGAACCGGGCGGCGAGGCGTACGGGTGGTGCTGGTGGGGTGAGAAAAAAAAACTAAAAATAAGTTCTAAAATAATTGCACTGTACAAACCTGTCGGCCACTTCGTGTTGTAACCCAAAAGAGAAATAGTATCCACTGTGGAACACACTTCGGCGCGAGTTCGAATCTCGCGCTACAAACTAACCGATACGCGAAAGGCGCGTCCCGCGTATTTTATCCGAAATTTTCTGTGTCTATGAGGTTCGTTCGCACCGGTTTACGGACGATCGGCCGCGGCGCGATGAAAATTCGCGGGACTCGGAGAACGCGTTCTTCCGCCACGGTCTTTCGCAACGTTGTGCAAAAGTAGACGTGGAAAATGCCTCGGTGAAATATCCGCTCAGGCGATGCAGCCACTGGTACTACTGCCGTTCGGCCATAAACGTTCCAGCCGTTTTCTTTTATTGTCGAGATTGCTATACAAAGAGACACTGCCGCTGCTGCTGTATTCTACCGGGCAAAGAAAGAATTTCATTCTCGGCGCGATCCGTACGATAAGCCGGTGGCTCTAACTCTGTTGTGCACGCGCACGGCGATCGGCGGCGATCCGATCTTTACTTTAAGGCCGGTTAAAGGCGACTGAACTGTTCGGCTCGTGTGCCTTCCATCTTCCGCGGGCATGCCCACCGCTACGGGACCCGGCGTCAGGACCGTATCGCGTACCTTGGCGCCCCACCACAAATACTCCCCGATACGTTTCGTTGGAATATTTTGTTTCGTATCGCTCGATAATCGCGACGCTACTTACGAACACTTGGAACGCTCCTATTCTTTTTACCTACCGGCACCCCGGCTTCGGATACTACGGTACGCGCAAATAATTACGTTATCGCGTACTTACGGCACGATCAAGAGGTCACGATATGATAACTCGGAAGCTTCGAATATAACCACCTTTTTTTTTTTGTAATAATTTTTCTCTGATACACAAATGATAAATTTCACGGTTTCGAATAGGCGTCCGTTCTTATTTTTCGATACGGTAATTAGAGATTTTCTTCGGAATCTTAGAAATTCAATTTACGAACGACGACAGTCACTGAAATATACATAATTATTTTTAAATAAAAATGAAGTAGAAAAATATTTACGTAAACCAAACTATGAACTTGCTTATAATTTACATCGTAACGAAAGGAATATATTAATTGTCTACCATAATTTGAAATTACATTCTCGAGGCGCGCAAAGAGAAAAATCAGGACCAGAGTGGACCAAGATGCTTGCGCGTTTGTTTAGTTCGTAAAAGTTGAACGATAATGGCTTCATTGCAAAAGGGATTGAAACAGAAACAATACGGTTCGTAGCGGACGTCAAGATTAAACTGTCATTGTTTTTACGTCAATTGTATAATGAATGGTATTTACCCCGCGTTCACTTCGGAGAGGTAGTGTTCTTTTGTGCTCTCACCAGCTGCTCAACGAATAGTTGAGAGAATATGTTATGGTTTGATGTACGCCGTCTCGCATGAGTTTGTCATGGGAGAAATGCGGAGGCCACATGTGGAGCAGGGTTGTGGTTGGCAACCTGTCGGAACCTGTACGGATTTAATACTACAGCCAGTCGTTTAATATCGAGGAAATTATATCGCCGACCCTCCCACAGTTATTCTTTCAGACGCGTGTCCCCGAAATAAATCTAATATACAAAAGATCCCTTTTCCTAGCTAAAATCCTTCTCCCTTTTCTCATCGATTGTACGCGAAATTTTATCGCCGTTACGCGTCTTCGCTTAAGCATTCTCTCTTACGAAGGGCTCGTCGTTTGCTTTTGCGGTAAACAGTAAATAAATTTCTGTGTTACGCTTCCGGGTCTTTATACGTAATCCAGTAACAACTTCCTCCCGGTGCGTTTATTTCCAAGGCGACTGAAACAATCGTATTCCTGTTATTTCGCGTATGTCGTCGCTTTTAAACAGAGTTTATATAATCGCGGCAGAGTTTATTGAAAACGAAAGGGAACACGTACGACGCGACGATATTCCGTGTCGTCGTTGATTACGATTTGAAAAATTCGCGAGTACGATTTTTCTTTTGTTTTCTTCCCGATGGCCCCGTGGGTTTGCAACAGAAGCTACGCGGTCCCGAGAACATCTTCGGGACACGGAAGATTTCAACACCGTTAAGAGAGCAGCTCAAGGCATTCGTTATTGATTTCTCGGATGCTCCTTTTATTCTGCGATTGACACGCCGTGGCAAAAAAATACTCTCATCGGTCTGCACATGGACAGCGCGTCTCTTTGAAATGCTTATTAACTTAGGAACGACTGTGCACGCTGTCCAGGAAGGCTGGTTATAATGGACGTAGCCCTTGACACACAATGTTGTGCAATTCAAAGCAACACGGAAAGCACGGCTGATAGCGTCTCGTTACATCACTTCTAGCATCAAGGGCTAGATTTATGAGAAACTTCGATGTACCAAGGAATCTTGGATCTCGTTAAATCACCTTACCGCTGCTACCGTTGTTTAAAAATTAACTAAACTGCAGAAAACAAGCTTTGTTTCGTCGACTCTGATGTTTATATATGTATAAACATTCTATCGAAAATAATGTTAAAAGTCGAAAGAAACTATAATACATATGTGATTTGTTAAACCAGTAACGATGAATCGATATTTATTATAGAATCAATGTTGTTATATTGATAAAAAATATACGTTTTCTTAGTGGTGTAAGTTTCGATTGTTACAGTGGACAGAAAACTGGTCGATGAAAATTTGCTAGTGGCTGGGCGCTATGCGACTGTGCTACGACACTGATTGAATCCGTATGGGGAGCCGCGCCCGCCCGATTCTCGTGCCATAATGTTGCATATTTTGCAGAAATTACATCGTTTCGTACGAGGAAACTTCGATCGCATTTCTCTTTGACGCTAATCGAAGCTTCTTAATGATTTTGATCGTCTGTCGTAGCGTACTTCGAGAGATTTTCACCACGAAACAGCGTTGCTGCGGACTATTTTACGTCGCGTAATAATGCGCGCTGCGGTTAGACGCAGCATCGACGCCTTAGTAACAGATTCGAGTTGTTCGCGTGCAAGCGTCCCTAACTCTGCATTATGTTTTACAAACAAATCTAATGTATAAACTTTTAAACTAATGTTGTTTTTAATATTATTTCAAATATCACTTCACCTTATTTTACAGTTATTTAATATTTCAAATAGATTTATGTTGTTTCATTCCATGAAATATATCTATGGATCAATTGCGATTACTTTTCAAGAAATACAATTTTTAATTTCAATGAACCGTGATGTTTTTTATTTTTCTTTGATATATAAGAAACTGAGTTTTCGATTGTTGAAAAGTTGAGGGAATTTCAGGATTTATGTTTTATCGTTCCAACTAGAGTTAATTTATAATTGTTGAGATGGCTATTGATTAATGTTTACAGTAAAACGTTTCACACCAATAGCAGAACTGTTATCAACTCGAGAAGGACCTTCTGGTCGCTTTCCTGCATAAATTTCCATCTTCAGGGTATAGTATAAACAAGCGTCAACTAAAGAAAAGATCTTTATCCCGTATTTACATATTTCGTTTGGTAGGTATATGTATATTGCCGGAAGCTGCAACGTCTACGACAGTCTCTTAATATATTATTATCGATGCATAGCATGCTTGATACTGTTCTCGAAACATTCCAAAAATCTAACACGATAATTTTTTAAGTCTAGAAATCATATATCTATTAAGTTGGACCCGTGAAGCGTTTTTTTCTTGAAATAAAACTCATTTGGTTATTTATGCATAGATATTGGACCGAAGAAAAAAAGAATCCGTGGTACCTCATTACGAGGTTTCCAACAAAAAAGGGGGACCAAAGCAACGGCCGATAAGCAGCTGGAGGTCAGATAAGAAATTTAAAGATTTCTGTTTAGATTCGACCGGTTTCAAGTAGAACGTTTTTTCTTTTGATCCCGTGAGAGACGTTCCATTACAATTTTCCACCGCGTAGATAACAGCGAAACAAACCTGTTTCGCGTTTAACGTTTCAAAAATCTCACGCTCTTGCCGAAAAACTTTTATCGACAGGAATTTAAGGGTTTAACGGAAACGGAGAATATTTAAATAAAAAGATGGTTGAATAAAATCAACGTTCAGACTTTAATTTTGAGCGATAAATTGTTTAACTCTTCCTCGTTATAGGAGATTTTACCCGTCTCTGCATCATGTATCGACAGTTGACGTACATATTTCGAAATGGAAGAGGTAACGGCGATGAAAATTTGTAAATATTGACACACGTCCGAACGGTCAAGCCTACGGGAATTTCAAATTCGAGTCAAAGTAGATTTAAAACAGTGCTTTGTTTAGACCGAAGCCGTCAATAAGAAAAAGGTAAAGAGTCAGATCATCCTTGACAGTTCATACTTGGCTGGTTCGTACGGAAGCACCGCGCGGCATTGTAGATCCAAAGTCGGTTTGAAATTCGATAACTTTGAAAATCGATCCAGTTTCAGAGGTTCCGTCGAAAACATACGAGAGCTAATCTCTCCGCGATCTGATTTTTGCGCCAACTTGACGTACGAATAGCACATCTATACAAAGAGAATTTTGTGTTTAAATATTCTGTACGCGATGGCCGAACGTGTCTCTTAATTTCACAAGCAAACACGTATAGTAAAAATCTGTCGACGACCCGTGATTTTCTTTTCCTTTCTTATTTCACACAATGATTATCACGTTTTACTTTGTGTTTTTAATGTTTCTGTTTGTAACGCGAGTTAGACGGAGAAGAGGTTTTATTGCTGGACAAAGAACGTGTCAGGATATATATTATTGTCCCATAAATATTACAATTTTGAAACATAGATGACAAGTACAAATAAAAACACATAACAACTGAATCTGAAAAAATACCAGTTGTATCTGAATCTTTGTCCTCTGTGTCAGGCTCACTGAAATTATACGCGTTAAGAGTTTCATTGCCTGAAAAAGGATTGGAAAACGGTGTAAAATTTATTTTCAAAGAAATCGAATGTTTCTCACGGTTCATGGTGAAGCATTTTAAAATATGTCAAAGCCTGTATCGAGAGGGAAAGTTAGGAATTACAAAAAGGCGGGGCCGCTGTTTAACATAAAAAGACTAAGCAAACTGTTAGTCTGGTTCGAAAATGGCTTCGTGTTTTCAGCTACTCGTGGGACAACAATGCAGAATTTTGCACGGTGGCTTACTGCGAAATCCATAATGCTTTCCGCGTATATTTGAAAGGATCCTGCAACGAGGACCGACTATGGCTTTCGGTTTCCGTTGACAGTTTACATTCATCCTTAGGATAAATACACGCGCAAATTCCATTTCGTCCAAAGAAAACGTATTTTTTCCCTTTTTTCCGGAATTCTGATTTTCTTTGTACACGAGGCTTCTTTCGCGTCGCGGGTCAAAAAATTGGAAATAGCATCTGAAATTTTGCTTACGACGAAGTTTCTTAAATTTATTTAACGCGATTTAATGCATAAATAAAAAGAAACGAGTCCACGCCATTATGTAACGCGTTTAATTACCTCTTCGCGAAGAATCGAGAATGA